TTCATCTCCACAAATGTGTACATGGTATAATTTTTTCACAACTGAGATCTACATTTTGAATTCTATTTAGTAACCATTGAGTGCAATCTTTAGCAGATGTGTTTAAACAGTTTATTTAGTCTCGATAAAAGTATCGTACATAAGTTACACATCAAATGTCACATGATATATCAAACTCATTTCCATAAACCTTAAAGTTGAGGCTCGAGATGAATTTTTTCATTGTTAGGAGTCTAGATGTATACCCGGCCACATCAGTAATCCTATTTCTTGCCCTGCCATAAGACCTGCACGAGCTTTCTTCACCCAAAAAGATGCTTAGGTGAAGAAAACAACCCGGAAATATTTTGTTCTTCCAACTATTGAATCATTTGTTTTTCTTTTGTTATTTGTTTTCTCTTAATCAACAGTTTTTAATTTTTACCTTCTGGCAACTTGTGAGATAAAGGTGGTTGTGCAATGTCTCTTATGATGGTGTTTTCTGTTTTTCCAAGTTGAGAATAAGAGTAAAATAAAATGACCATACAGATTTATCAACCTTTGCTTATAAAATCTGCATACAACTTTTGCTTATAAAATCTGCATACAACTTCTTAATTGCCTAGGGACTAAGAAGAGGAGTCCGGTTGTGTTTTTAAATTACCCATTGCTTTTCTCCAAAAATCATGCATAACAACTTTATTATATGTTTTGGGTTCAACATGAGCTCCATAACAACAGAGAAGACCCTATAAGCAGGTGAAATTTGATTATAATAAACTACTGAAAAAATAGAGTGAGGACTTTACTTTTGGATTCTGGGGTCAAGAACTAATCCTTAAGTTTCACTTGAGTTTTTTTATTCTAGAATACCTTGTGAGAGAATGATGTTGAGTGATTGACTCATGAATAAGTTTCAGTTCATCACATGACATCTAAGTTTGATAGTTATACTTACAATTCGATCAAACTGCACCTTTTTCCTATATATAAAAGAAAATACTTGGCTGAGATTGGATTAGTTCTTGCTCATGACAGATTGTTTGTATTAGGGAAGATTGTTTGTATTAGGGAAAAGAGTCAAATAAATACATCTACTATTATCAATACATCACATAGGTACATGTACTTTGAAAAGTGTGAAATATATCTATACACTCTTGACAAACAGTCATTTGGATCAAATGACCGGAAAATTATCTGAAATGACCTGGAAAACTACCTGAGTATCATTTACTATTCATTTTGCATCCGTTTTTCTGATTCTCTTTCTTAAGGTTTTCCTATCCATATTCTACTTGCAATTTATCTCTTTGGGTTAAACAAGGAGATACAGTTTATCTCCATTTAGTCAGGTTAAATGAGGTAAGCGAGATAATCTTCCATGAGTTAAATGAATGGAACATAGTAAATGAGATAATCTGATTCTCTTTCTTAAGGTTTTCCTATACGTATAATCTTCAATGAGTTAAATGATTGATCACCTTTCTAAAACAATTTTCAAGTACTACTATCTTGCTGTTGACGTGCACAATACAGAACCATCTTGGTTGTTTTTCTATAATAGCTCACCTTGAGGATATATTTCTCAGGGCCGCTGAATTCATGAAAATAACTCCTAGGGTTTATTATGTGGGTACCCAGCGAGCAGTGGATCGGTTTATTATGCAGGTATCCAACAAGCAGTTTAGTTTTAAGTAATTTTTACAAAGTTGGCATGCACAATATATAATCCTTTAATACATATCAAAGCTGCTACATTGATCTGCGGTACTTGCGAGATTGACCTAAGGAAGCAATTTTTGAGCTGTCTACTGCTAAAGAGGCTCAATTTTCATAGTATGTTTAACTACATTTCATCAAACTCATAACATCATTGTTTCACTTAAACCTCTCAACATTGACACTGAAGGTTAGAAAATACAGGATTTCTTGATAAATGCATTCATCTCAACTTCAGTTAAAAAAAATAAAATACAACCAATCTGAAGTGACTAATCAACGGGCTTGATACTTTTTTATTAAAAATTCACTATTTTCTGAAAATTTATGCAGTTATGTTAGTGCAGTGCAACCATAAAAAATAAAATACAATCAATCTGAAGTGACTAATCAATGGCTTTTAAAATGTTTTGTTTGAAAACCATAAAAAAGGTAATGTTTTATATAGTCCCTATTTTAAACCGTCTTTAATTTTTTTCCCCGTTCTATGGAATATTTTCTTTGTAACATGACCAAGATAGTTTAGAGCAATAGCTCAAGGTAAAATGTATCAATTGCCATTAATGGTCCAATGATTTAATGGAATGTTAGATCAAGATCGATATTTATCAGTGGATATTTTCAGATTTTAATCTTAATTTACTTAAGTGATTAGCTAGCAGAGTGATTTTTCATCATTTCATCGTTGGGGTGCCTTTAGCCTTATGCGAGGCACTTATTTTTTTTTTTTTTTTCTTCAGAGAAATTCTATTGCCTCTTGAAGGACTACTCTACTTTCTTGGTAGGAGTTTTTTTGTGCTAGGTTGCTTTTGGACATTGCCTGATCCATGTTCCAGAATCCAGAAGTTGCATAAAGATGAAACTATGAGACGAAAAATGGGGGAAAATGCAGGTCACGCAGCTTATAAATTTAGCCAAAGGAAAACAATGGAAACGGTGTTCTAATGGCAGAGTCTGTATTGAAAGATCCCTAGGTGGGGTTTTTGGGATTTGCAGGTTAGAAGATAATTGATCTATGCATTTTTCTTTCTACACACTATATGTATTTGATTCATGTTTAGCTATATTAGATGAGAAATACATATTAATGAGTTTTGGTGCATTACTAAAGTATACTCAATGCATGTATATTGAGTTTAATTTTAAAGACTTTGTCACCTATCTAACCTCAAGAATTATTGATTTAAAGGGTAGATAGGGTGATGCATGTGACAATATGAGTTGGACTTGCTGTTTAGGGGATATATAAAGGGACCCAATTTGATCTATTTGATGAAAAACTATAGAAAAAAGGATTTGACAAAACACTTTAATGTATTGTTAGCTCTTAAAAAAACGTTCTCCCAAAAACCTACATATCCACTCCAGTTCTTTTGGTTCATTCTCTTGAAAATTCAATATAGATATATACATGAAAAGTTAACAAGCACAAGCAAACATGTAGTAGCAGCTGAAAACATATAGATACTTATATTCGCATTTAAAATCGTGTCTGAAGAGTGGGTTTTTAGCTATAAATGGCAAGTTTAGGTTTTGATAATGATATAACTGTAGGATTTGAACTTTTTAACATCAAGAGCTGACATATTGGAATATGTAATCTGCTGTTCATGTCTTTATCTGCCTGTGACTTGCTAATTGTAGGTGTATGTGTAGCTTCTCTTACAAATATGGAGCTGGCACAAAAGGTTACTAATGTCGCTGTTCGGCACTTAGAATCTGGGTCTTTTAACCGGTGCTATCATCATCTATGTAGTTTTGATAAAGATTATAGCCTGATAGAATGAAAGCCTTAGTGCACGACTGCAGCTAGCAGTATAGTCCTACTCTAAGATAGTTAAAGATTGATCGTATTCTATGAGTTTATTGTGTGTAATGTATAATCCTCACTGTTTACAAGAAAAGTCGCCCTAAAAGAAGTCGTACTCCTTAATTATAATACTCCCCTTTTTAGTACTAGAAATTCTATACTGCCTATGTTATGTTTCTCTATTTGTCTAGAGTCTTATCTGCCAAGCTTTTGAGATAGAGAAATTGCTCTCAATAGGAGTAAAAAGGTTTTGGAATTTCAATATAGGACTACTATGTTTTCCTTCACGAAATAGGAGTCATTGCTACCATGAAAAATATTGTCATGATCTAAAAATACCATCATTAATGATAGTAAATATTGTCATGTTTAATGTTTACATTGCAACTATTTGGCCGTAATGACTATAAGATGAAAGTAAATATTACTTCCTCTGCCCCCTCACTTTGTCCCATTTTACCTTTTTTCGTCCATTCCATTAATTTTGTCTCATACCATGTTGGGTAATATTTGGGTGACTACACTTCATTCTTACTTTATTCACACTTTATCAATTCAATATCAACAACACAATTTTACTTTTTCTTAAAAGTTGTGCCACACTTCTTTGTCCCAAACATAGTGGGATGGAGGTAATATTATTTTATTACTATTGCTTTTGGATTTTAATACTAATTCAAATTTGATTTTGTAAATATATTTAAAAAGTGAAAATTATGTGGTTGAGTTGTATAGAGGAGCGGAGACAAAAGTATGAATCATGATTATTTTTTTTGCCATAAAAGAAAATCGAAATTTATTCTGAGATGGTGAAAAAGAAAAAGAAAATACTTTTGGGAAGAAGGTATATGATAAATAACTTTTAATAACTTTTGAAGACACATTTTGTGAGTAAGTTTTGTGACATTGTATTTATTTCACAAATAATCGTAGACTATCCGTGTCACAAATTTTGTGACAAAATCACACCCCTCAGAGCTATAATTTTCATAACCATATGATAATAATACACATTTTGAAGACACGTAATCAATGACCATGATTATGTTTATTTCACAAGTAGTGACAATATACTTATACACACAATAATCACAATCACATTTTTCTATAAATTTGAGTATTAAGCTATATACTGCATTTCCTTGCAATGCACAGGTGAAGCTATATATGGTGCGGTATCGAGAGTTGCGAGTCTATCAGGGTTAAAATTTGTCATAAGTGATGATAATGGTCAACCAAGTAATACTGATAAATGTTGTTTGTGAAGAAGTGTATAACAATTTATAGACTTTTTTTTATATATGATTTCTTAGATGTTGAATTCTATACTTTGAATGTTTAAATTATAGTCCTATTATCATTTCCATCTTTACATTCTCAATGAAATGTTTTCCCGTGCAACGCACGGGTTAAATACTAGTAGTGTCTGATAGTATATTCTTACTAATTTTAGTTATATTTTTATCCATAAATTTTATTCAATAGAATTTACGGGAGAACCTCTTCAAGACTTAAGAGTGGAAGTAGCATATATTTACAAATAAACATTCTCTCATCCATGATTTTTTCAATTGTCTAAGATGATAACCATTCTTATCATACAATATTTGTATATTCTACTCAAATAAACAATTGTATCAAATTCAAATGAAAGACAATGTGATCACTTAAATAAGTAAGAAATATGAAGGTACGTACAAACGCACGAATCTCCAATATTTTAGCACTTAGATATACCACTTAGATGCAACTGTAGATGTTTATATATTTAGAGTGGTCTCCGATCTCAACAATATACACTGATCGGAGTGATGGCAACTCTGCTCGATAGTTTGTGTGCAGATGTCCGCAAAGGCTCTGATTTTGTCATCAGTAAGAGTTTCACCCTCTGGAGTTTGATCAATGAGTCTTTCAATGCAGTTGTCGATCGCAATTGCCCACCGCACTTCGTCGTCGACTTTTCTCTGCAGCCCGCCGCGTTCAGTCTGTGGTGCGGGCGTTGGCGTTGGCGTTGGTGTTGGCGTTGCTATTTCATTGGCTGCAGCAGCTTCTGCCAGGAATAAAATGGCAATCACAAATACCATTCTCATCGCCTGCATATAATTACTCATAATTATTGCTATATACTTCGTATAACTCTTCGTTTTACTTTCTCCTTTATCTTTTCATTCACCCACCTGTTATAAGGAATTATGTCTGTCCCTAGTGTGTGTATATATATATATATATCAGATTAGGGAAAGATCAAGTACAAAGTGTGCTTATTGTGCAAATATTTGTACGATGCACCTTGACGTTATTTGCATTGCATATTGAGGTTCAAAGTATTGCATATTATATATACATAAAATAGCAGTTGCAAATATTAGGTTTTATTACAAAAATGCCACCTTGCCTTTATATCCTTTAGATCAACTCATCGGATGGCCAAGATAAACTTTGTAAATTAAGCAATTTGATCTCTATTCTATCAGATTATCAGTGTATGTATATATATGTGGTGTTTTGACAAATTAAAGAAGGTGCATTCAGGGGTGGAGACAGGGAGGGGCTGGAGGTGGCCACGGCCCCTGCAAGAAAAAAATTCTTAAGTATATATTATGTATAAATACTTTTAATCTGTAGAAAGTATGTTGATATTTTGCACTTTGGCCCCTGCAATGTAAAATTGTTAAGGACCGGCCCCTTTAACCCTAAATGTCTGGCTCCGCCACTGGGTGCATTGAATTTGACAAAGCTTATAAAATGTGTTACAAAAGTTATATCAAGTTAAATACACTAATTAATTACTAGTAGTTTATTAAAGAGCCGTTATTATTATATGGAGGAGTAAATAAATTCATCTCCAAGTCAAATTTAATAATACTTCATGTTCATTTTGAAGTATTATATACTAGTATGCTTTTACAAGTGAGTTTTTTTTTACCAAAATACGGGAAACTCCCATCTGACAAGCCAAAATACGGGAGTTCAAATTATGTTACCATATTACGGGAGTCGGATTTGGTAAATCCGACTAGGGGAGGGCTTCTGAATTAGGGTTATACTCTTGTCGGAATTGGGTAATCCGACCAGGGGAGTGGCGATTAATTAAATACACACCTAGTCGGAATTGGGAAATCCGACTAGATAGTATTTTGATTATTTTTAATTTTCAAATCAGATACGTGTTTGATTGCAATTCATGTTTGGCAGCCCTCCCCTATATGTTATATTATAAACACATAATATTCTATCAGGAAATATGTGAGATATCATAAAAACTAATGTTGGTAAAACCTTATATCGTCGTAATTAGTGAATCCGACTGGATTTTTATGGTTGTGAAGTATTTTATGTGTTTAATTTGTGGTCTAGTTTTTTACCAAACTCGAACCACACCAACTCCTATAACAGCCGTTGATTTGTTCTCAAAATTATTAAACACACTCCAAAAACACATCTCTCTCTTAATATATTCATTATATTTTTTGTTTAGGCACTCTATTCGCATATAAAAGTGTCTACTGAGGGCAATATTGTTGTTATGGTTCATTGGAATGGCTCTACATCTCAAAAAGATGATGAAGTAGAGTACTCCATACCTCCTACGGCGGTACTATTCATTAGTGAGGGAGATGATTTTACTAGTATGCATGAGAATGTTCTAATTCATGTTAGAGGTGAGGGATTTTCCGAAATTAAATTAATTTACGGAAAATTACCAAAATATAAGAATTTGGTATATGTTGCTTCTAGACTATGGCCCATTCACAATGAGCAGACATGACGTCATTTTTTCCGGATCGCTAAAAATGAGTATGAAGAGTTGCACATTTACGTGGAAGTTCCAGCGACCCCGCCACAAAATTTGACGTTCCACGAAGCTCTCGGAGAGGCGGGCCCATCATCCGTATATGGTCGGAGGAGCAACCGCCAAACGTTTCAGAACTACGAATCCCCCGGTATGTATTGTTCAAGTTAAATAGAATTTACAATGATTTGGTTTTATGGGTTGTCATTACATACTATGATAATTATAAATTTGTAATTAGATAAAATCGTGCAAATTAGAACATTCATAAAAATTTTATGAATTGTATAAAATTATTATTAGAATTTTAACACTATCAAATTCAAGATGACTATAACTTATTTTAAAATATTATACGTAGTATATGTGTTTGTTATCATTGTTTACTAAGTATGTGTGAAGATAAATTGTTTACGTAGCTAGTATATAGTACGTGAACATTATCATTGTTCGCTATCATTGTTATCATTATATTATACCTAGTTTAAAATAATTTTACTGCCGTTTTTATTCATATTTCATTATTATGCAGATAAATTAACTTTGATTTTAATTTAATATTAATATGTTTGAAGTACTACTTGTATAAAAGTTTAACAAAAAAGCGGTGGAATATTGAGTCATTCAACATTTGAGTGAGTGTTTAACACTTGAATTTCGATACAAAAATATTGACCCAACAAAATTTGACCCATTAAGTCATATGAACTCAAAAATAAACAAACATATATGAAAATTTTGATATCCGTGTTGGATATAAAAAAGATGGATATCAATTTTGACCCATTTTAACACATTCAATATATTAGATTAGCTCACGTTTAAACAAAATTTGACCTAGTTTTCAAAATTATATATTGGGGAAGTCCCAATTCCGACGAGGGGATTTTTTTTAGAAGTTTTATATATTGCGGATGAATTAAAACGAAAAAAATTAGAAATTAATAATTAATAATTTGAGTTAAATTTGAGTTTAATTAATCGAAAATGTTAAATTAATAATTTGAGTTAAATTTGGAAATTAGAAATTTAGAAGTACTTATTAGTAATTTATAACCCATTCAATTAGACAAGCTCACATTCAATAATATGAATTTAATGCTGTCGGAATTCTCAAATCCGACAAGGTTTTTTTATAGAAATTTTTATATGGCTATTTTTAGTGCTGTCGAATTAAAATGTAAAAAAAAAAAACTTCCTGTCGGAAAGCCCAATTCCGACTAGGGGGTGTTTTTTAGAAATATTTTGTTTTATTTTAAGAAATTATATAAATTAAATTTTATAAATTACATTGTTATTTTAAGAAATTTCATATTCGAGAAAAATTTTATTTTGTTTAAACCATAACTTTAGAAGTATTTATTTTAGTAATTTTTCACTCATTCAATTAGTTAAACTCGCATTTTATAATATAACACGTTTAAACAAAATTTGACCCATTAAGTCATATGAATTCAAAAATAAAGTAAGTTATAACATATTCAAAGTACATTTTATAACATTCAAATAAAATGTTATTTATTTTTTGTAGTAGATAATAATATTGAAATTTATGAATGTATCTACTTTGTACGGTCATAAACTCGGGTGAAGAGTCGGATGACCCTGACTATGAACAAGGTTTTAGTAGTGATGCCTATTCATCCACGAGCGATAATGGTGACGAGGAAGTAGACACCACCTGGGCCAATGTGGAGCTAGAAGAACCATATGTTCAAGCGGTACATTCTGAGCCTGAAAGGATCGAAGTCGGCGCAGTTTACCCTTCATATGATGCACTGAAAGAAGCGGTGGCGAGAGAAAACATTCGTCAAATTCTCCAAAATACAATTACAATTAAAATCTCACAAATGTTTACAAACTAAATAAAATGGTAAACAATCCACACAAATCAAACATAAAAACATACATTTATGCACTACTAATTAGTGCATATCAAACACCCCACACTTGAACTTTTACTTGTCACGAGTAAACCAAATTCAGTTCAAGAAGTCCTCAAAATGACAAGAGTGTCAACACAAACATCCCAGGGTGTTTTTAGAACAACACAAACTATCCCCAAAAATACAAGAGTAAAGAGGGGTCTTCAACTCCATATTTCCTATCAAATCACATGTTTCGTTTAAATGTTGTGCATAAATTAATTTCTAGTGATAATTTTGTTTTTGTGGCATCTTCCATGAATGAATATATGATTTGGCATGCTAGATTAGCTCACGTTAATTTTAGAAAAATGCATGAAATGTCTAAAGATGGTTTAATTCCGGCTTTTGATTTTAATAATGATAAGTGTAGGACTTGCATGCTTACTAAGATCACAAAACAACCATTTCCTAATATTGAAAGGAATTCGGCTATTTTGGATCTTGTACATAGTGATTTATGTGATTTTCACTCAACTCCTTCCCTTGGCAATAAAATGTATGTTGTTACGTTTATTGATGATTCAACTCGGTTTTGTTATGTGTATTTATTTCACACTAAGGATGAAGCTTTAGATAAATTTAAAGTGTATAAAACCGAGGTTGAATTGCAATTGGGTAATCCAATTAAATGTCTTAGGATTGATCGGGGAGGAGAATATATGGATCCTCAATATTTTCAATATGTTGGAATCATTCATGAGACCATGGCTCCGTATACACCACAACAAAATTGGTGTGGCCGAACGAAAAAATAGAGTTTTAAAGGAAATGGTTAATTTCATGTTTTCCTACTCGGGTTTGAGTGAAGGGTTTTGGGGAGAAGCTATGTTCACGTATGGCTTGCTATTTTTGAATAGGGTTCCAAATATATGAAACAAGTGTATTTATAGCCAATTTGATGCCTTAGGGGCGGGTGTGATCATATGTCTCTATGTTGATGACATGCTGACTTTTGGAATGGACCAAAATCAGGTTGATGAAACCAAAAGGTTGTTATCATCAAGGTTTTTCATGAAGGACATGGGGGAGGCGGATGTGATCCTTGGTATAAGGGTTAAACAGGTAAACAAAGGGATTTCTTTGACACAAGCTCACTATGTTGAGAATATTCTCAAAAGGTTTAATTATAGTGATTGTTCACCCGTTGGTACTCCCATGGATCCTAGTGTGAGGTTGATGCCATTGGTTGTTTGATGTATGCCATGAAAAGCACGCGGCCGGATATTGCTTATGTCGTGGGTAGGTTGAGCCGGTTTACTAGTAATCCTAGTACTCAACATTGGCAAGCAATGAAGAGATCTATTGTTCAAGTATTTGAAGGGAACCATGGATTATGGTTTGTGTTACTCTGAGTATCCTTCGGTATTAGAAGGGTATTCGGATGCAAGTTGGATATCCAATGTAGAGTAGTAACTAGAGTAGCATATGGCAGTATGGTCATTATATGAGAGGGT